TCCTGTGTATGTGTCAAGGAACTTGAGCCCCCGAAATCCATTTTTATAATTATTGTAGGTTACATGTTCCATCTCAATTCTTATTATTTTAAGTTTGAACGTTATCAATTTTTTACCTACATAGGAGTCACCCAGTTAAACTTTTATAGTTGAGATCTTTCGAATAATACATCTTACGATTTACTTTTTATCATTTATCTCTTATAGAGGTAGGAAATTATATGAAACCAATTTGCAAGAAATAAGATGTACAATGAGTCTAGTGAACGCACGAATATGTTATTTAATACATACCTTGATTCTTGTTTATTTTGAAGGTTATTTGTTTATTATCAAAATAATATATTAAACTATAGTTGTCAGATCATACCTCTTTTAACCCTTCTTGAAAATTATCTTCTTATATTCTTTATAATGGAACGAAAGTAGACTTGAACATGTTTAAGACATTTCTAAGTTCAGGTAACAAGAATTATATACAGAACATCTGCAGGAAAATTTTAAAAAATTGACCTGAATATATCTGACTAAAGGTGTTCTAGTTATGATACTAATAACTGTTATCTTTCTTAGTGCCCTCCCCCCGTGGCTCAGCGGTAATTGTGTAGATTTATACTGCAAAAATTTGGGTTTCGATACCTACGATGGCAGAATACAGATAGCCCATTGTTTAGCTTTGTACTTAACAACAAACTCTTTCCTAGTTGAGTAAGATATCAAACTCGCTCTCTTTATCGCTTATTTAATTCTAATGGAAAAGTGCTTGAAAATAAGATGACTTTGAACGGTTTGCATTTCGCGAAAAGCTTCACAAGGGCTATATGCGCTAGCCGTCCTTAATTTAGCAGTTTAAGACTAGAGGAAAAGCAGCTAGTTATCACCACCCACCCACCGCCAACTCTTGGGCTACTCTTTTACCAACGTATAATAAAAGATTCTCAGAATACAAGGGTGAAGAAACGCCGTAAAGTGGTATGTTTGTTAATTAATAGGGGTAATATTTATAACATCAAGATATATTATTAACCTATCATCACACTAGTATAATTGTTTATATTAATCTATCATCACACTAGTATAATTGCTTATATTAATCTATCATCACACTAGTATTATTGTTTATATTAATCTATCATCACACTTGTATAATTGCTTATATTAATCTATCATCACACTAGTATAATTGCTTATATTAATCTATCATCACACTAGTATAATTGCTTATATTAATCTATCATCACACTAGTATAATTGCTTATATTAATTTATATTAAAGCGACATTGTTTCAATGCATTCACGTTTTTGCAAACAAAAGTATCTAATATTCAAATACCCCTCCCTCTCCTCAGCGGAAAGTCTGCAGGTTTACGAAGCAAAAATTCGAGTTTCGCTACCTGTCGTGGGTTGAGCACAGAAAACCCATTATGTAGCTTTATGATTAACATCAACCAAATCAAACCAATATTCAAAAATAAATAAAATATATAAATAAAATCTGACTTTGATTTTTTTTTTACCTCGCAAACAAAAACTGAATCAATTTGAAACGTTTCGTCCACTGACTACATCAAGCAATTACTGATTGTAACTTTACTAATAAATTCAGTTTTTATTTGCGTGGTGAAGGCATTGAATGTTTGATTTTTATTTATTTATTTTATTTTATTCAAACACGTGTATAAGCACTTTCTGAAAGGTACCGATACTTAAAGCCACGGGCGTAAGTCAAGGCTGAGAAAAGTATTGTTCATTTGAGGCATTATGTGATATGTTTTTAAATGATCTCTTGCAGATTTAAGTGTTTTGGCGATTAATTTCCTCAACATATAGGTAAGCGTCAAGTAATAGAGAATGGAGTTCGTTGAATAAGGTATTAGTTATTTAATAATATGAGTAGACCTGTGCCTGTGGCTTGAAACCAGAACATTACTAAGATCCGCGAGATACGTATTCTAGCGGCAACAAATGGATCGGTTTTCTAATGGATATTAAATAATTCTAAGAAGTTATGAATGAAAGTATAGGATAATATACAACAGTTCAATCACACTATATCTGCTCTATTCACTGCCGGCGAGTTTTTCACTCAACACCAACGCTTATTAGGCCGTTTGAGATACGACAGACAGAACGGTTGAGAAACAGTTGTATCATCAAGTTGCATAAAGAACAACAGTTATGGTGTGAGGAAGATTAAGTTTATAGATTTATTTCTTTAGTTACGTCGTTTATAAACCATAATTAAGGCAAGGATTAACAACACAATATTATTTATTTTAACACCAATTGTTTATTATTGAATTAACTTTACTCATCATTTAAAAGAACTGGCATACCAGCACTGTAAGAGATGCCTTCAAAGAGGTATGATCTTAACGTGTTATGAATATTGATTACAAATACCCATAATAATGAGCTATGCTGTCCAGTTAGTAATCCCATGATTTTTATTCTTATGACTTACCATTTTAGAAAGAGGTTTGAGTCTCCCAGGGTTATTTTGTTTTTAAAACCTGCGATATTGCATATGCGCGGAACCGGAGGGGGGAAGGGGGCACTGGAGCATGCGCCCCTAATTTTGACCGGTAACAAAGTGCCCCTTTGAATGGAGAATAGAGACTTATATATAGCTATCATGGAAACATCGATGTATCACTTTTCATTTTAGTGGCAGGAGTTAATATAAAAAAAGGTGCCCCACTCCCAAATTGAAATATGTTCCACCGTCTATGTATTGAAGTAAATATGAAAAGAACGAAATTATTTTCTACCAAACACCAGACGTACACTTTACATTAAGTTAGTAATAAGACCCTCTGATATTGAAGATAACTCCTAAGTTTTGTTGCTGTTTAAGGGCGTTATATAATATAAACTTCACTTGGAACTCTGGGAGATCTACTTCATTTACTTGACGCGGTGAAAAAATAGATTAATTATTTCAAGTTTAAGTAGCTGTAAGATAAGACAAAAAATTCAATCCTTTGGTATCTTTTCCCACATATATAATTTTAGAAGGTTTACGAAGCAAGCGTTCAGATTAAAAGTATTTAGTAACGTGTTTTATTTTTCATTTATATTTGACACAAACACCTAAGCGAAAAACTGGTGTATTTAAAAACAAATACATTATTTCAGTAATGAGAACAAATTACGGAATATATTAACAGATTGTTTTGGAGTAACGTAATGAGAATATTAAAAAGTAATGACTTTTGAAAGTATTGTTTTTTCATTCTTCAGGTTGCAATTATAATGTTTTTAAAACAAATACATTATTTCAGTAATGAGAACAAATTACTGAATTTATGAACAGATTGTTTTGGAGTGACGTAATGTGAATATTAAACAGTAATGACTTTTGAAAGTATTGTTTTTTCCCATTCTTCAGGTCGCAAAAAATACAGTTACAAACGTGAAGCACAGGGACTTAATGCCAAGAACATGCTATTTCTGAATTATAGGCAATTATCCGCTCAGAACCCTCGTGAACCAAAGATATGTAAAATAATTGTGTTAAGAAATAACGACATATTTCAGGTGGAAGTGAACATATTTTAGTATATTATCAACGTTTTTGACGCGCGAAAAATCGCACATGTCCGTGTAGTGAAGAAACTTCTGAAGCAAAGTTGAATATTTTGCGATTGCGTTATTTCTTCAATATTTAGGGTAAAATATTAACTGAAACAAACTAATAATTAAGTTTCCTGTGTGCCTTTACTTTCCCTCCCTCCCAGGTGGCCCAGCGGTGATCTTGACAGATTACAAAGTTAAAATTTTGGTTTAAATCTCTGTAGTGACCTCAGCACAGATACCTTAATGTGTAGGTTTGCACTTGACAACAGTCAAACAGTAAAATCTTTAGTATTTACTAAAATAAATTTTTTTACTAAGTCATTTTGATTTATGACGTGGGTTTTATAAATTCTTATAAATTTGCCAC